TTTACAAATTTAAAAATAAAAGATTTGCGTATAAAACTTATAATTTACAGTTTTAGGTTGGTCGCCCCACATGATATCAAAATGTGACGTATACACTGCAGCAGTTTTAAAGAGGATTTGTTTGTAAAAATGAGAGTGACAACTCACCTGCTAGTTGTCTCTGTGGGACCCTCACCATGAGGCTGGCTGATGCAACATCCTCTTTGAGATGATTATCAGAATATAAGTTCCTTATTTGTATTTTCTTGATGGTCGCCCCAGATGATATTTCAGATAATGAACATCTTCGGACAAGATTTGTTTGTTTATTATGATTGAAACGTGTGTACAAATGTTTCATAACTTTGTCAATCAATGGAAAACAAGTTTAAAATTATGCCAAATAGGGTAAGAATTATATTTAAATTCTTTTAGTTTGATTTAAAACCAGTTGTCCAAACAGAAGTCAAGGCCGGACGGTCGCCCCACATGATGTTTTCACACTTCAGGTGGCAGAAAATGCCAATAAACTAATTATTTTTAAAGAAATAAGAGTGGGCATATGTATAAGGAAGGTGGTAGACATACATGTTATAATTTTATTAATTTTAATGTTTATTAATTGGTAAAAAGTTCAGTCGGACAGAAAAAGCAAGCGTCACGTCATTGACCCACAATCGAGGATCTTGCTCACTAGCGCAAGTAACTAATTTAAAAGGAAAGTAGTCAAGTTAACAAGGTGGACAATAAATTGATTCATAATTGTTCAAATAAATTGAATAATTGGAAAAATATATAAGAGAGAATCATTAATGGTATAGGCTACCTCCAAAATAATGACATACCCATGTGTAATAATGAAAAAGGGCAACAGACCTGGGGACAATATTTTGATGAAGTTCAAAATAGTATAAAAAGTTTTTAAATAATTTTTTTAATCAATTTCAACATACTTAGAGGTCAAATTGCGTTATTTATGACAAAAAAACGGTTTAAATTTGATATTGCTACATTTTTAAGCAGTAAGATCATGATCTTAACAGGGAACGGCACTTAATCTCAGGAATGACCCAGATGTCTACTCCGAAATATAATTTAAGGCTTACCTGCAAACAAAGTCTTCTGTCTAAATGAAATGTTATTTGTGAAGTTGAACAAATGGCCTACTGTGTGATGTGTAAAATGTGTAGGCTGTTCTTACACATGCGCGTTGAATGTAACGGCTCAGATCGGCCTGGGCTTCGGCCGCTCAGTCCTTGACTATAGGAAATGTGGAGTCCAGGGAGGAGTCGGTTACCACACCCAGAAGAAGGGCTTTCGGCTGGTCTAACACAAACACTGCAGCCCTCAGGAAGGAAAGGGTTCCCAGACACCCCACAGACTGACCCAACGCCAGCCGAGGAGCGATCGGCGATCTGAGGCGAGTGACTCGCTCACTAAACGCAGGTTTGCGTAGGCCTAACGTTACACGCACACTGTACACAGCGAGAATAAATATGCTCGTTTACAGTTCCGTGGAGTTTTGTCAAGTCAAGTATAGCTGAAAAGTAATATTCAAAAACACAGATCAAGCTTACCTGTCTCCCATTGTGTTTTATGGTTTTATCCGATGAAATGCTGTAGTGTTTTGATTCGCGACTCGCGAGTCGTTTAGACCGTTTGCTAATGATCGATTGGGTTGATTCATTGAAATGAATGACCTAACGATTCTTTTGTGATTCACGAAACGTTTCATTCCAACCGCTTTGTGAACCGAACCGAACGATTCATTAAAATGAATAGGCTGGTTACTTTTCGCGAAAAGAGTAGTTCGCCACTGTGTGAACAAAACCGATCCATTAAAATTAATTTACTAGAATTATCTCGTTACGATTCGCGAAAGGAGTCGTTTGGGCCACTTTGCGAAGCGAGTTGACATATCACTGAAAATAATCGAGTAAAATAACCAAATTTCAAAATAATCATTCTTTCAGTCGATTTTTTCTCCAGCAGGAAAATCGAAAAAAAAGAGCAAAAATCACAAAATAATCAATGATGCCGCTTTGCTATCCAATTTGATTCATTGAAAAGAATCAACTAGAATAAAAGATTATTTTACGATTTGCAAAAACTGTCTTTCAGACGGCATAGCAAACCCATTTTACACATTTAATAAAACCAAATGATTAATCAGAAATCACTATTAGTTTAATCCACCTGTGTAATATTTTTTGGTTTTTAGTAATGAAATTGTCTATCTGAATATAGTTGTTTTCTCTGCAAAATGTAGGTTTCAACAAAAACATTTATTCTTGTAGAAATATATTGTCCCTGTATGTGTACAGTATGACGTTATTTCTGATATAAAGACAAAACTGAAAGATTTGGATAGCCTATGAGCTTATAGGCTTGCAATTACCTCATAAAACTCATAAAAACTATTGCATTGGTGTTGTAAAACACTCCATCAAACATACCCTGTTCATTCATAAACACACACTCATGTACTGGCAGGGGCGTGAAGTTCAGTCTCCATATGTGTGTTTGAGCGTCTCTCTCTCTCTCTCTCTGTCATAATCAAATTAGTTTTGCTGTCCATGTCTAATGGACCCGTCTCCGCAGTTCAGGATAAATAGGCGCAGTCTCAGAGCAGTTCACACACACACACACACACGTAACATCTTCTCTCTTACAGCCATGCCTCACAGCGCAGGAAACACACATTTCAACGTGAGAGTTCACGCAGCATAAAGTGCATTTGGAAATCTCTGCCAGTTCACATGTGTCTTTAAACTGAACAGAACTTTACAAGTAAATTAGTGTACGTTTGTTTTAATTCTTCCACCATGTAGGCTATCTTCCAAATGTTAGTTTTTTTGGGTCTTTATTGGTGTGAAATCGGATTAAACTATAGAATTACTGCCTGGCAAAAACTTGATATGATTATTCTTGGTTTATCGTTCCAAGTACAGAATCACTGCTTCCAAAGACATTGAGAAACTTGGTTGATGTTCCCCAAGCATTAAACTCGTGCAATGAATAGCACAATTTCAATTTTTGACCCCCTTTGCAGCGAGCCTTTCTGAGCACAGCCGATGATTATTGTTTTTTGCATGGGAAATATCATCTTATACATATTTTATGCAGATTAATAACTGTAAACTAGAATGAAAATTATTTTGGGGAATCACATTGCGATCTGATTTGACTGATTAATTGAAAAGAATTGAATAAAATGAATGATTCTTTTGGGATTCACAAAGCAACAATTCATACTGCTTTGCGATCCGGTTTAACTGATTCATTGAAAGGAACTAAGTAGAATGAACAAATCTTTTAGTATTCACAAAACAATCATTCAAACTGCTTTGCAAACTGATATAAATGATTCATTGAAAAGAATTGACTAAACTGAATGATTCTTTTGAGATTCACAAGGCAAAAATTCATACCGCTTTGCAATCCGGTTTAACTGATTCAGTGAAAGGAGTAGAATGAACAAATCTTTTAGTATTCACAAAACAATCATTCAAACTGCTTTGCAAACTGATTTAAATGATTCATTGAAAAGAATCGACTAAAATGAATGATTCTTTTGGGATTCACAAGGCAACAATTCATACCGCTTTGCGATCCGGTTTAACTGATTCATTGAAAGGAGTAGAATGAACAAATCTTTTAGTATTCACAAAACAATCATTCAAACTGCTTTGCAAACTGATTTAAATGATTCATTGAAAAGAATTGACTAAAATAAATGATTCTTTTGGGATTCACAAGGCAACAATTCGTATCGCTTTGCAATCCGGTTTAACTGATTCATTGAAAGGAGTAGAATGAACAAATCTTTTAGTATTCACAAAACAATCATTCAAACTGCTTTGCAAACTGATTTAAATGATTCATTGAAAAGAATTGACTAAAATGAATGATTCTTTTGGGATTCACAAGGCAACAATTCGTACCGCTTTGCAATCCGGTTTAACTGATTCATTGAAAGGAGTAGAATGAACAAATCTTTTAGTATTCACAAAACAATCATTCAAACTGCTTTGCAAACTGATTTTAATGATTCATTGAAAAGAACTGACTAAACTGAATGATTCTTTTGGGATTCACAAAGCAACAATTCATACCGCTTTGCAATCCGGTTTAACTGATTCATTGAAAGGAGTAGAATGAACAAATCTTTTAGTATTCACAAAACAATCATTCAAACTGCTTTGCAAACTGATTTAAATGATTCATTGAAAAGAATTGACTAAACTGAATGATTCTTTTGCGATTCACAAAGCAACAATTCATACCGCTTTACTGATTCATTGAAAATAATTGACTAAAAATTAATGATTCTTTTGAGATTCACCTAGTAACAATTCAAACCGCTTTGCAAAACCTTATATATATATATTTAATGTCAGTCAAACATGGCGTTGTAGTTCTGACGTTATCAAACATGATCCTGGAAGGTAAAATGTTTGGCCTTGATCTCTCTCTCTCTCTCTCTCTTACATTTAATTCCTGCTTATTCATTAAATAAAAGTCTGACTGTCTGGAGAACAGCTTGCGCTTTTAAAAGTCCTGGTGCCGCTGTATCTCGAGTTACTCGCTTATCAGCTTCACAATGTCAGCAGAATGAATGAATGATGGCAACAGGATGTTCCTCAAGCTGAGAGAGATCAGGGCTTCTCCAATTAATGCCATTTTATTTTTTTAATCACTCTCTATTAAATGTTTTTTTTTTTTTAACTGATTAAACCTTTATCTCTAAGTATTAAAGTTCAGCATGTGTGTCATCCAGCTGTGGTTGTATAAATCCTCTAATCAAATAACATTTAATAACTCTCTCTGTGCGGTTAGCCAAACCAATGTCTGCCCAAAAATCTGAATGTTCATTTCATAAATGGCAATGCAGTTTTCATTGCAGCGACATGAGTAATATAAGAGCACAATTCATATGTCAGATTTCATGTGTTCTTCGAGCATAAGGCCTGTTTTCAGTCCTAAGCACTCCTGCCCTCTGCTGTTTAAAGGAGACACTGCACTGAATGTTAATGTACACATCTGCAGTCACGGTGAGAGACACGCTTTAGTGAATTTCATTTCTTGCATAAACATTTTTTTATGCGTGCATTCTAATAGAAAGTTGATCTGTAGATTCATGTTTCTTTCTTGGTTTCTGTCAGATTTGGTTTGGTAAAAGGGCTTGATTTGCTAATTTGCATCATTTATGCTCCGAAGTTACAAAACGCGGAAGTGAGTTAGCATTTTAGCACTACGGTTCCCTCGCTCTAAAGCCTAATATGCTGCGCCCCAATTCGCATACTATCCGTCCTAAATAGTATTCGAAAATAGAATTAGTACGTCCCAAATCGTAGTATGTTGAATTGAGTGTTTCAAAGATACCCGGATGGTCTACTTTTTCCGGTCAGAATCCGAAGTGTAGATCGATGCACACTCTAACGGCTGATATTGCCCACAAACCATTGCGCGTTGGACGAGGATTCGGTTAGAACTACAAACACGAGTAAAAAGTTTTAAAAAAAAAAACTACAGACACGTATCGATACGGAGGACGGTTGTGTAGAGAGGTTTAAGATAAAGAGCTTTGAGTGATTAATTATCAGTATCAAACCTGACGAAAATGAATTTATTCAATGTTGTCCACATTATATTGCATTTACAGCAGCATTGTGAACTTTTGTAAAGAGACGTTTAGCCATTACGTTTTAAATGCATCATTATATTCAAATTGCAAACACGAGGAGAGCATGAAAGACCCACAACTGGCAGATGAACCTGCTCTCCGAAATGGTAGGAAATAAAATTGGATGGAATGGAGGATTTTAACTGTGACGAGATGATTGACAGGGCAGTTTACGGTGACAGGATGCACGCAGCACGCGACAGAGCTGTCCGTTAAAGATGACGTGATAGTATGTCCCAAAGCTTGCCTACTCTTTTGCTACACACTCAAAAGTATGTACTTTTTCCTCACAAAAAGAGTACATACTTTTAGGGCGTAGTATAAGTAAGCGAACTGGGACGCAGCATATGGGATTTTTGAATGGGTTTTTGCTAAATCGCCTGAAATAAGGTCTGTGGTGAACAAAGCCTCTAAATATTTTCACGTTTTGATCTCTGACATAGAACACACAGTTATAACTTGCTTGTGGTTTTTTAAACTTTATTGTGTGTGATTGTGTTTTTTAAAATCTTTATAGGGCATTTCAGAATGTTTGTAAACAATAGGCACCGCGATACTTCCGGGTGGCAGAACGCGAGCGGCTTCCATTGACTAACTGAAGAGATCCAGCCGGCAACTGAACAGTTACACAGTTAAAATCATTGTTGTTGATCAAAGTTGAATCTATGGCGAAAATATGTTGTGTTTGGGGTTGCGCCACCAGATATACAGCAAAAGGTGTAGGTTTTTTATCGATTTCCTTCAGAAAAAAGTAAATCTATCCAGCAGAACCTGTGGGTGAGGAGGTTAAAGCGAGTGGACGTCGTCAAAAGTGCATGTCGTCTTCTAATTATGAGCCTGAGCCCGATTTAAATCCAACCATTTTAATACGTGGGTCGTTATATAACTGACGTTCTCAACTAACTTAGTTATTTCTATTACTTTCCATGTTATTTTCTTTTGAGCGGTGAGTAAATGCTTCTTCATCGTAAATGCTTCTGATTGGCCAATGCGTTCAATAAATCAACACATATGTCTGTAATTGGCTACATCGCTCATCGCTGCAGTCACGTTATAAAATTAAACTCTGCCATGTAACTGTTAAGTCATTTCTATTTTGTTTTAGTTCTTGTTGCTTTTCTGCAACAGATGAATACAAATGTATTAGTTTTTATTTGTTTTATTCATAGATATAGGTCTAGTGCGTTGGGAGTGCACGTCGCTAGATCAAAAAAATCTAAGCTTTAATGATCATGTTAACTATGTCTGAATTTCCACCACGTCTGTTCTTGAATCAACTGTTGAAATGTAGATTAGGCTTCTGCCGGCGGTGTGTCTCCCTCCATGCAATTTACTAGTGTTGCCATAGGGACGCTTCGGCTTTTGCCACCCGGAAGAACGTCTTTTATTGTTGTGACGTCATGGTGAATTGTCGTATATAGGCTTCAAAATGTATACATTTTGGATTAACTTGTAAAGATTATTTCGCTAGACAAAACGTGTAAGGGTCACAACTCTTTGTTAAACACAGATCTTATTTTTTGCGATTTTCCAAAAGTCTATGAGGAAAATCCATTGCTTTTCGTTAGAGGGAACTGCGCCGCTAGCTTCCGAGTTGTCCTACAAAGTGACGTCATCACTTCGGCACTCCCCTGAGGTAATAACCAATGACTGACAGAATACTGAACTTCGAAATAAATTTTAAAATAGGCCTATTATATGTTAGCCTTTTTATATATAGGTAGACTATCATTGTAACTTTTTTTTTTATAAATACAAATAAATCATTCTTCCAAAACGTATTTTTGTCCTACATTGATTTAAACTGTTGATATTTTAGACCTGACGGGCTGGTTTTCGCGGGTAATTGCATACAGGGATAGAGAGAAGTTGCTCCGCCTGGTGTGGAAGTGGCAAAGGTAAGTTGTGTGTGTGTGTGTGTGTGTGTGTGTGTGTGTGTGTGTGTGTGTGTGTGTGTGTGTGTGTGTGTGTGTGTGTGTGTGTGTGTAGATTCAGTGTTTCCAGTGTTTAACAATTTTACGTTCTGGGAACGTTGATTTTTGGTTCCCAGGACGTTCCCCTAATGTTTACCCAGGAAAGTTTTCTTAACGGAAATAGAACATTTAAGGTTAGGGGAACGTTCCTTTTAGGTTATAAAAATAGAACCTAAAATAACGTTCTTAGAACGTTCTTATTTGGTTCCTAAAGAAATAACCAAATGGAACCATGTGGACAATGTTCTGTGTTTGCTGCGTTTTAGTGTGTTCATTTATTTATTTTGGAGCATTTAGTTGCATTAGAGTTCAGGCTCAGTTTTCCCGTGTCAACCTTTGTTTTATATATATATATATATATATATATATATTTCATTTAGGATAACATTGTCTTGACTCTTGTCTGTGTGTTGTGTGTCTCAGTCTCACATAATGTGATAGATTATAGTGAATGAACGCTGCTAAAACAGATGGTTCAATCCTTCCTCACAATCAAGATTAGGATTATACAGGCACCCTGTGCCACACACACTTACACACACATAATCAGTGTGTCTTAAAGAAATGAAACACAAAGAACAATAGAGACAAATACAATAACTTCATTCTAGATGTTTTGCTGGAGTCACCACCAGTCAGGGATAGAAGAACACAACAGTGAAATGCATTCATGAATCTGTGCACACACTCTGGAAAATAAAGGATCCAATAGGGAATTTCGCAGCGTTTTTTTGGCTTTTTCTGCATTTTAGTTTTTAAAATGATATGTGTTAACTACAAAAACACAAATTTGTGAACACTGTGACGTCATGTGAATATAACGTATTACAAAATGACATCGCCAACTACTGGCCTGGCAGTAATAATAGTGTTTTTCGTTTTGACGTGTGAACTGGGATGGTTTTGACAATGTTAGCATCTGTACACGAAAAACGCAAAAGAAAATGATTATTTCCAGTACATAATGAGCCCTTAGTGCACATATGATGACAGTTCTCTTCAAGTTCACCCAGAGGAAGCTGTTCAACATTAACTAATTCATTAACAAGAACACGTTTGACTAACATTTTTGACTATTTTTGCATTGAAGATTTTGCTTTAATATTTTGTGCATTTTTACCTAATCTAATACTAAGTGTGAGTTACGCGACCAGTCATAACTTTGAGGTCCGTAAGTTATTTGAAAGAAATGAACACTTTTACTAAGCAAGGGTGAAAAATGATTGTAAAGACATTTATTATGTTGCAAAAACAGTTTTCAACTCTGATATTAATCAGAAATGTTTTTTGATCATCAGATCATCATATTAAACTGATTTCTGAAGGATCATGTGACTCTGAAGACTGGAGTAATGATGCTGAAAATTCAATAGTTGTCAAATAGTAATAATATTGCACAGTATTATTGTTTTCACTGCATTTCTGATCAAATAAATTAGCAGAAGAGACTTCTTTCTACAACACTGAAGCATGATACTGACTCGTACACAGTGTTTTATTGCCCTTGGAAACTCATCTGCAAATGCTTTGGCAGCACAACTGTGTTTGTGACTCCAACAAAATGCATTAAAAGCGAGTGATTGACAGACAGAGGCTGTAAGCCGTAAATGCTCCGGCGATACAGATGTACGATTATTAGTCATGCCAATAAAGCACATTAGACTGAAACTGAGAGACAGACCGTGTGTGTGTGTGTGTGTGTGTGAGTGTGTGAGAGAGTGAATGATAGTCTACGCTATCTCACGACCAATTCGTACGAATTCGTATGAGTGATTCAAAAGTGGCTAAGTAATTCGTACTAATTCATACGACCTCACTCGTACGAATTTGTACGATTTGTCTAAACACACGTGACGGTTATGTTTAGGGGCGGGGTTAGGGGTAGGTCATTCGTACGAATTCATACGAATTGGCTAATTCGTAAAAAGTATGTACGATTTAGCAAAATCGTACTGATTCGTACGAGTGAGGTCATACGAATTGTTTCGAATTAGCCACCTCGTAAAATACGTACGAATTCCCCTGAGATCGGGTTGTGAGTGTGTGTGTGTGTTTGAGTGAGATTGTGTGTGTGTGTGAGTGAGATAGTGTGAGAGAGAGTGTGTTTGTGAGTGACAGAGTTTGTGTGTGTGTGTGTGTGTGTGTGTGAGATAGTGTGTGTGTGTGTGTGTGAGAAAGAGAGTGTGTGTTTAGGGTTAGAGGATTGAATATACAGTTTTTACAGTGTAAAATCATTGTCTATGGAAAGTCCCCATAAAACATGAAACCTCAACATGTGTGTGTGTGTGTGAGCGAGAGAGATAGACGGGCAGAATGAGAGAGGGATTTGTGTGAACTAATCCCTCTCAGGTCTCTATGTCCTGAGACCGCGCTCAGGGTCCGACTCAGTCCTTCAGGTCCTCAGTCCTCCGCCACCATGAGCTTCATCGCGGACGACGTGGAGATCGACCCGGTCACCCTCAACCTCATCATACTGATCGCCAGCTATGTCATCCTCCTCCTCGTCTTCCTCATCTCCTGCATCCTCTACGACTGCCAGGGCAAAGACCCCACCAAGGAGTACGCGCCCGACCCCGTGCCCAACGCCAACGCCGCGCCCATCCGGCTGGTGGTCATGCAGAGCTCGCCCGCCAACGCCCGGTGGGACCAGAACAAGATGGTGACCACCTACGAACCGCCGGCCACCGAGAAAAAGAGTACTTTGGTCTGAGACGGGCTGATAACAGCTCCGTTTACAACAGAACATTATCTTTTTTTATCTACTGTACATAAATATGCAAGGACTGCATCTCTCGTTTGGTGTTTTGTGTGAAGCGTCTTTTTTAAAACAATTCAGGACTTCCGTGCCGAGATTGAATCATGTCCAGATTGGATTATCTGAAGAAACGGTGAGTATAAAAACAAAACACAAATGGCACTTTAATGGCTTAGTTGTTTCTTGGAATTTAAATGGAGAACAAATGGTGATTTGTTGTGGGTCTCTGGGAAAAAGGTTTAAATATAATGTAATTTACAATAATGGGTCCCAAACCTGTCAGTGATCATTTCCCAAAATAACGTTTTAATAATTTAATTTGAATCATCTATATAGAATCTTTTGTGGAATGGAAAGATTCTATGGATGTTAAAGGTTCTAAATGGAACCATTGATTCCATTAAAGCTTCTTTATGGAACCATTGATTCTGTTAAAGGTTCTTAATGGAACCATTGATTCCGTTAAAGGTTCTAAATGGAACCATTGATTCCGTTAAAGGTTCTTAATGGAACCATTGATTCCGTTAAAGGTTCTAAATGAAACCATTGATTCTGTTAAAGATTCTAAATGGAACCATTGATTCCATTAAAGAACCTATATTTTTCATGTCATGACTCAAACTCCTCAGATTTGCAATTAAGTCTCAGTGCAAACTCAAGCGATTCTACCAAGATTGAATGATTTGAGCATTCAATTTTTACAGGGTACAAAAAAAAAATTGTGAACTTGACGTGAAAAAAAGCGGCAGCTGTGGTTGCCAGAACTTTACTGTAAAAAATATCGTAGCAACATTATTGGGCTGAAATTAAATTTACTATAAAAAATCCTAGACTTTATTTTATTAACTGATATAATGCTAATAATAGATCTTTTTACATTGTAATTATGCAGGCAGTTAAAAAAATAGCTTTTCCACAAGCTGCAAAATTAAAATACAGATTGCACACAAATACCAAACACCATCACACTGTAAAAAAAAATATTTTCATGATTTGTAATCGCAGCATCTTTTCTTTTGTCAAATCAACTTGAATAATTTATGTAGTTCAGATAACATAATATTTTGAGTTTCTGATGCTTAAATAGTTCTCCTTCATTATGTTAACTCAATTTTTCCATTTCAATGAACTTAAAATTTTAAGGCAACCAGGTTACTTCATTTTTTAAGTTAAACCGACAATATTTTTTTTACAGTGAACACTGGAATAATGCGGTAAACATTAACTAAACAACACAGTATGTGACACAAAACCCATATGTACTTCATAACAAAACTATCGAGAAACATGATAGTCTCACACAGGCAATTGTAGGAATATCAGATTAGTTGTTTTTTTCAAAGTCTGAACATTTAACAGTATAATACTGTAAAATTGTTTAAACTGTCCTGGTAGATCTATTGCAGTTGTTTTTACTTAATATTAACCAATTATTACGATTTTTTCCCCGCAACTTTTACTGTAAAGATACTACAGTAAAAATAGGTTAACAGTAAGCTCTCTTATTATATCCAGGGGACAAATAGATCTAATCTTATGTCATGTCACAGTAAAGTACTGTTAAATGTACCAAACAAACCATCTTGTAATTTACATGCGAAAAGCCTCTTTCATTACCAGAATTCCCTGTGTGATACTTCACATGTATTAGTTTCTTATCAGTTTTTTTTTTTTTAATAGTTAGGATGTTACACCTTTAATTAATGTTTCAACTACTGACAAATGGCACTCAGTTCTTTCTCCTGGACAGAATTAAAATGGGGAAGTGATTTGTCTAAAACAATCTAAAAATAATGGTTCCAAAAGGGGTTTTTCGATGCAATAAAACAAACATTTTTGGTTCCCCAAAGAACCTTTCTTAAAAGATGTTTTTGAAGAACATTTTAACAATCTAAAGAACCTTTTATGGAACTGAAAGATTCTATGGATGCTAAAAGTTCTTAATGGAACCATCAATGCCAATAATCGTGAGTGGAAGAAAGCGCTGTTCACCGATATTGAGAATCGAACCTTCAACCTTTAGGTCTGACTCTCTAACCATTAGGCCACATACAGTATATATTACAGGTTTAAATTGTAAAATTTTACATTTTTACTGTATATTTACAAGATTATACTGGCAACCACATGTTTTACAGTGTATTGACTGTTTTTGTAACATGCAGAGCTGATTCTTAAATGTGACATAACTGGCAACGTCATTAATTATCCGGAGCTGTAGACGAGGAACTCCTGAGGAACACAGTCTTTTTCTGGACCCTGTTTGATCCATGAATCCGTCAAATGGAGGTCAGGAGCTTCCGGAAAGTTTCCGCGGTGATGAATGGTTTTAAAAACGACACCTCTATAATGAGTTGACATGTTACACGCAAATAATCTCTTTGGCTTGTGATTATATTACCCATAAACTGGAGTTGTTTAGAGGATTAACTGTGACTTTGCATAAAACAATGTTTTTGTTTGTGTTTGTGAGGGTTTGAGTCGCATGCATAGAGCCTCTTTGAGCCCATTAGCCGCTGAGCTCTAAGTCATGCTATTTCTTACTTAGGTTATTTTTACACTTCAGTTTCTCAGAGAGAACAGCATATTTGTGTGCAAACTATTAAAGCTCCTGCACTGAATTTGTTCAGTTTGCACATTTGTATTGTAGCCTACACTCATTACTTTCTTCCAATGAATAATGCATAATACAAATGACAGCTCACTGCGGTGGTGTTTACTGTTTAGATATGATAATTTGACACAATATTTGGTTTATCGTTGTCGGACCATCGTTTCAAAGGTTGAGTGACTCGTAGCACAGAGTAAATATTTAACGTGAAGATAAGAACAGTGCTGTGTGTCACAGCAAAATTTGACTGAAGAGCAGCTTATCTATTTAAAAGTAGACACGTATACTTTTGGTTTCAGTTCCATCATTAAAACTGCATGCATGCAGTCAATAATTTAATACCTTAAAACTCATCGTCACCAAAATTACACAAAAAAGTTACAGCCTTGCCTCATTTGGTATGCGCCGTTCTATGAATATGCAAATGAGCATCGCGATTTCAAACCGTGTGTTTGAGTTTTAAGGAGGAAATACTCAGCAATGCTTACGACTTATTTGCACGTGGTTTGTCTTAAAGCATATTTAAAACACAACACAGACATATAAACAACATTAAAAACTGGATTTTCACCACAGAGGGACTTTAATGCAAAAGAAAAACATATGGCATCTTGACAGGGATAAATGCATCTGGGATAGACAGATAGGATTCTGGGAGCTCAGCGATGTGTTCGGTCTTTGTACTGGGATATTATTTCAGCTTTCTCTTAGGCGGACCATTTTGTTATGTCACTGTGTGGTTCATACTCTTACAGTCAATGAAAGAGTAATGAGAGGTTTTTTCCTAAAGGCAACACGCTCAGCACAAGAGCTATGGGTGTAATTTCAGAGAGTCCCTCCGGACCTTTAGGAGACAAGGTGAAGAATGTTTTTCGTTTAGTGACCTGGATCTATTCATCATTTTATATAAATATATATATATACTATAAAAAATATTGTTGCTTTAACTTAAATTAAGTAACCTGGTTGCCTTAAAATTTTAAGTTCATTGAAATGGAAAAATTGAGTTAATACAATGAACAATGATGGAGATTGATTTAATCATCAGAAACTCAAAATATTATGCTATCTGAACCACATTATTTGAGTAGGTTACAAATCATGAACATTTTTTACAGTATATATATATATATATATATATGTGAAGAGTTCAGATGCAAAAGCCTCTAAGTGCCATTTGAAATTTTCTTCTAGAATGATCATTTTTATCAAGCTTGTATATTTAAGTTCAGTGATTTCACTTAAATGGCAATGATAATTACCTATTAATTGTTATTTAAGTGAAATTACTGAACTTAAATATACAAGTTTGATAAAAATCATCATTAAAGAAGAAAATTTCAAATGGCATTTAGAGGCTTTTGCATCTGAACTCTTCATATACACTCTTAGAAAAAAAAAGGTTCTATCAGCGCTACGTATTTGGAACCCATAAAAGGTTCTATACACTCTTAAAAAAGGGTTCCTCTGGGTTCTATATAGAACTCTGGGGTTCCATACTTGGCCAATAGAACCTTTTACCAAAAAAATTGTTCTATATAGAACCATTTTGGAGTTCCATATATGAAGAGGGGGATGGAACCATTTCTGGTTCTAAATAGAACCATTTCCAGTAGAACCACTAAGAGTGTAGGTTTTATGTAGCTATAGGCTACAGTAAATATGGTGATCATACAATTATCATGTCACGGTGGCTGTAATGAGCGGACAACGATAAAGAATCAAACAAATACTTTTTTGTAGCTATCCACAAGGAATATCAGAAGATTAATGTGGAAAACACAACTACTAAACACCGACGAGATCGGACGGGCTATAAGCGACTATTTACTCGACACCGTTTTCAACTAAAAACGTAAAACTTTGTATGCGTTTTGGCCGTTCGTTAACACAACAACGGCGTTTTCGGTGCTTGAAAACGCAAACTTTTGAAAACGGTTTCACGTGTTCAGTTTATATAGTTTCATCGCCCTCTAGTGGCCTGGCAGCAGAATACAGCGTTTATAGTCGTTTTCGCGAATCCGTGTAAATGGTGTCGTCTGTATGCGGAAAAAGAAAAACGTCTTCATTTTAAGTATAGCGTTGTCTTTTAAACATAGCCTAAATTAGTTAATTAATTAAAAAAATGGTGAGCAGAATGAAACCGGGACAGACATGGAAATGAGGTCAACTTATTATGGCAAAAAAACACAATCCTTCATCAAAGTACCACAAAAACATGATATAAGTATGCTTTTTAATTATATTCCGGGGCCAATGATGTTAATCCAGGAATACGTCCTACTTGGTTAAACCATATTGTGTGCAACCGTGTATACCGCAACGAGGTCTTCCATGCCGTTGCGCTTTGGATCTAGATGACCTTAAATCCTTATGGACCAAAGTCAGATCAAGCCAAGCCACCAAAAGATCTGTTTGGCATTACAGGTCACTAGTGAAAGCTGAGGTGTGATAAATCTAGTTGACCTTAATTTCGATTGGCAGGAATAGGCGGTTTCTGGCAGTTGAACACTTGATAAAGATTGATAAAGCAGCTCCTTATCAACCTCACTCAGCTATCTAATATCCACTATAAAATAGGATAAAAGTAAATTACATCATTCAGAAACGTGTTTTCGGGTGTGTTCCAAATCCAATCAGTGTTCCGATGCAGAGTTCCGAGCGAATATTTGAAATCGATGTTCTATTGCTGATGTATTCATTTAAATGTGGTCTAGAATGTTGCAGATCCAAAGAGTTGTCTGTTGAGCAGTGCATCCACTGTGAGGCATACATTAATGTACCAGGTAGGATCAGAAGATTCGATTGTAGAGAAATACGTCATGAAAGATTATGAGGAGGAAGGGAAGGATCAGCCTTCCTGTTGGTGTCTTAGTGTAAATCCCCTGGTTAATTTAGCCGTCTCTACTTCCTCTACCAGCTGAACTGGGCTGTTTCTATAGCATTAAGAGCCGGTGCAACGGGTTCAGATTATTGACATTTCCATGAACGCCTGTGGTTATAAAGGCCTCCGCCGCTGTTTCTTTGAATGTAGAAGAAGTTCATCTGAAGAAAAAGGGATTTATCTTGAGAGATTAAAGGGATAGTTCATCAAAAAATGAAAATGCTTCTAGAAATTACTCGCCCTGTTGTTCCAACCCCGTAAGACTTTCGTTCATCTTCAGATCACAAATTAAGATATTTTTAATGAAATCTAAGAGATTGAAACTTGCCGGCCCAGAAAAGTTATTAAAGACATCTTTAAAATAGTCTAATCAAGCGACAAGAATATGTTTTGTGACTTTACATCTACGAATTTTCTTCTGTGTGGGCCTCGAGTGAGTTCACGTATAGTGTAACGGCGCAGCGCTTCTTGAACGTAGGCTCACTATTGGCCAGAATCACACACATGACCAGCGTCAGCCAATAGTTAACCTACGTTCTGAAAAGCGCTGCGCTGTTACACTACGTGAACTCACACAGAGGCCCACACAGAAGAAAATAAATAGTTGAATATCGTCGTTATTTTTTGTTTTTTGTGCACAAAAAGTATCTTTACTATTTTCTATTTTATTTAGTATTTACTTGAGGTGGTGCAAAGTTTAAACTTCTTACACCGCAAATAAAAATTAAATGTCATTCAGTTGCTGTTCAAAGTGCACGTCAAATTAATATCAAATTGTCATCTAATACCGTAACTGTTCCACTTCTTTTTTTAAAATACATGCAGCTTTTTGTCTCGCTATCATCCCATTAAGAGCTCTGTGCATAATCTGATGACTGAGTCTGAGACGGTGAGACCTGCAGTCAGACAAATCCTGTCTGTATCACTATCAAAAACACAGTCAAAATATGTGCTCCGATTTTCTAATTTTAAACTCTAATTTATTCCTGTGATCTAAGCTGAATATTCAGCATCAGTCTTCAGTGTCGCATGATCAAATATTTTTGATTAAATAAATAAATGCAGCCTTTGTGAGCATGAAGTATAGCCTATGTTTAGATGTTTTTCCTTCACTCTCAGAAAAAAAGGTACAAAAGCTGTCACTGGGGTTGTACCTTTTCAAAAGGTAAACTTTTGTCCATTTTAGGTGATAATATGTACATTTTATGTGCTAATAAGTACATTTTAAGTGCTAATATACATTTTATGTGTTAATATGTACATTTTAATTGTTAATATGTACATTTTATGTGCTAAAATGTATATTTAGCAACTAATGTACATTTTAGGTGTTAATATGGACATTTTAGGTAATATGTACATTTCAGGTGCTAAGGTACCAATATGCAGCCTTTGGGTACAAAAGTGTACCTTTTGAAAAGGTACAGCCCCAGTGACAGCTTTTGTACCTTTTTTTTTTTTTTTGAGAGTGTTGAAAACACGAATAGCATGACTCGGACTTCTTCTTAATTCAGTTAACAGCCTTACATAAATGTTCAGTGGCATCTAATGCGCTTGCTGCTGGTTTATGTAATTTCGAATCCCTGAGCCACGGCTACTCTTCACCCAAACACAGTGTTTCACATTAATATTGTGCAAGTTCGCCTCCAGCTTAGTTGCAAAAATGTGTGCAAGGGTGCATTTTATGCATGCGTGTTCATGAACAAAAAAATATATATTTGATTCACCCCTAAGGGGAAATTCAGTTACAAAACAGGAGCACAAGTGCACTTACACACTCTTGAAAATAAAGGTAACCAAAGGGGGTTTTATTAGAGATAGAATAGAAGAACTATTTTTGGTTCCCCAAATAATAATTCACCTTTTAATCATAAATCACTTTTGTGCATTGAAAAGTTTTCATGAATGTTAAAAGTTCTTCAATACAGTATTTAATGCAAACACACAATGCAGAGACAAACATGGCATTTCGATCCTGTTTTTATAATGAAACACCAGAGACCAGAGGCTTACGCTTTTAAAAAGGAAGTTGCACAACCGTGGGTTTACATGGAAGTGGGCCTTTTGCCTACTAAAATGATAATTTGATAACACTTAGTGATTACATGCATGGCATTTAGGCTGTACTCATTATTTTAAAGTCCCCCTGAAAATCCAGATTTTATTGTTGTTTATATGTCTATGTGGTGTTTTTAAGACAAACCATGTGTAAATTCATAAGTCGACTGCATTGCTATGAGTAAAACTGCAGTGAACCAAAGAAAGACAGTCTCAAACACACAGGGTGAAATCGCTGGTGTTTTGACGTTACAAACTACCTTGTAACCAATCAGATCCACGTGTGAACCAGTGGATTTCTGAGCTGAGTGAGTGAATGAGTGGAGGCGGGGCTCATTTGCATATGCATAGAAACGCGTATACTAAATGAGGCAAGAGTGTCGAGTTACATTCAAGATATTTTAAGGCATGACTTTTTTTTTTAAGGAAAAACACGTTTGAGTATGTCATTTTGGTGATCAAAATGAGTTTTAATGGATAGAATTATGACTGAGAAGGGGGCAAAATAGAGTTTTATTGCAGTACAAAAAGTGATAATACATTTGTCACAGCAAAATAAGGATTTTTTTAATTTATTTTTTTATTTTTTTGCAGTTTTTGACATTCACCACATTATGTTTAAATTACACTTACACTTAACAACTGTCGTTTTAAATTACAATTGAATAACAAAAGAGAATCGTCGTCATGTTTCTATTCAATGTCACTTTGTTTTGAACACAGGTCGTGGTTCAAACAGGTACGGCAACTCTCGCTCGCCGCCACACGCCCCGCCCTCCTTTGTTGCGTCAAACAAAGCGATATCATTCTCGCCGATGATTGGTCGAACTCAACAACCGTCTCACTCCAACCGCGCTCCCATTGGCTGAAGTCCCCGTCAATCACCTCTCTCAGGGGAAAAAAATGGTCAAAAATGTACAACTCGGTCTCCGGCTCCTGGTAGTTACAGAAAGAGGGATAAAGGCTGAGAAAGAGAGAGAGGGATCCGGCACAAGATGGAATAATGTGACAAACGGTCTCTTGTGGATGATTTAGGGTGTGTTTGAGCCGTTATGGTGGCACGGACGCGTTTTGTTTCGGCCAGGGATTGATTTTTTTGTTTTATGAATGAGTATTTTGCCGCGGGCCTCGGACATCTGATTCATTTTCATAACCCGATTAATCAGTTCCGTTTTTGATTTGTGTATTCGCGAGATGAAGAGGGTGAATAGTCTCCAGAGGTGAGTATGGAGGCTAGCCATACAGCTAACGGCACCTATTACTATTACAAGGCATTGTCTGATCTCTCTGCTATGGTTGTCTGTTTGTTTATTGCTCATTAATTGTGTCTGATCTGATTGTTCATTGCATCTTCATGCTGTATTGAGATCTGCACACAGACTCATCCTGACATGATATGTTCTTTCATTGACTCTATACCATGCATTTAGCATATCCAGAGATCAGACTTCATTTATTTAATGGAGAGATCAGCTCATCTTGTGGTCTGATCATGATTTATTTTAGTGCATTGACTTTCTGTTTCGAGATCAGATCATGCATGCTTTACAGACCAGCTGTTTTTGTTGACTATAGTGTCTAATCAGAGATCAGACCAAGTCAAGTCACTCTTATGTTCTGATCTCCTTATTAAATAGATGTGTTATTATCTTGTAGATGCATCATGTTTAGGGATCAGATTGATCCTGCCAGGAAAGATGTGGTTCAGTGATCAGTTTTTGCATAGATATCAGTGCATGTCTATTTATTGACTCCTAGACTCACTTGTGCCGGTGGGTTTATCTCAGTTCATGGTCTGATATCTCCTCTCCAAACATCAGCAGTGTGAGGATTCATCCGCATGGGTGTAGTAGGGATGGAGGGGAATGCAGTATGGATCTGTGTGTGTGTGAGTGTAATGAGCACGCACCACTGCATCAGACGCCACCATGTTTGACATCATTGTTGCATCCGTTGTGTTCAGCATTTAAACACACAGCACATCTGTATAAGTCACTGCAGGCTATGAGTTTGCTGAAGGATCTGGCTGGAAGATTCACAGGCTGGTGTCTGTGCTTGACTGATACAGAAGTGTAAAAGAGTTTTCATTTCCTCTTTACAAGAATTTAAGTTTCATTTGATTTTAGTTATGTTGAAATCACACCTTATTTTGAATGCATTTATGTTTGACATTATCTTAAATTTTTTTGGACAAATAGTTTAACATCCTTATTCACTCACTACAAAAAATATTCCCTTTCTTCCATTTGTGTCAATACGGGAAAAAAACGTTTTAGTATCATCAATATAGTATTATTGATTTTTTTTTTCCACCCCGAATTATTATTTTTATATTTTCCAATTTCAAGTAAAAATCTTTTTTTGTCTGTTTGTATTTGTTTTGCTTTTTAAATGATATATTTTTTTATTTTCAGTTTTTTTTGTAATTTTAGTACTTTGACTTTGGTTTTAGTTTAAGATAATAACCCTGGTCCAAACGTATATCAGACGGAAGCACTTTGTTTATGCATCTTTATTGCCATCAAATGCGAAAAAACGTCATACTCCAGTGCTATTTTAGTATCATTAATATAGTATTATTGATTTTTTTTTCACCCCAAATTATTATTTTTATATTTTCAAATTTCAAGTATAAATGTTTTTTTTTGTCTGTTTCTATTTGTTTTGCTTTTTAAATGATATAATTTTTTATTTTCAGGGTTTTTTTGTGTAATTTTAGTACTTTGACATTGGTTTTAGTTTAAGATAATAACCCTGGTCCAAACGTATATCAGACGGAAGCACTTTGTTTATGCATCTTTATTGCCATCATATGCGAAAAAACGTCATACTCCAGTGCTATTTTAATATCATGAATATAGTATTATTGATTTTTTTTTTCACCCCGAATTATTATTTTTATATTTTCAAATTTCAAGTATAAATCTTTTTTTTTGTCTGTTTCTATTTGTTTTGCTTTTTAAATGATATAATTTGTTTTTATTTTTTATTTTTTTTATTTTTTAGTAATTTTAGTACTTTGACTTGGTTTAAACGTATATCAGACGGAAGCACTTTGTTTATGCATCTTTATTGCCATCATATGCAAATTATTTAGCAATAACTTTTTTCTGTTAAAGTATAACTAAGATTTTTAAATATATATTTTATTTGGTTAACATTCATTTTATGTAAATTAACGTGATTTTATAAGTGTTACCGATAATAACACACGGTCCAAACTGGCATCAGAAGTATGCATTGTGTTTTTGTTTTTTCCGCTTTATTCATTGTGAAAAATAAAGGCACCGGTTTGTTGTGTTTCAGGTTTATGAACACCCGGGCGGCTGCAAACTGCCGTTACCAGCCCACATGTTACGAGCACGCGGCCAACTGCTACACCCATGCGGTAAAATTCATTCTTTAACTAACACAAGTAAATAAATAAATAGGGTGTGTTCTCACTCGGCCGGTTTGGTTGGATTAAAACAAACTCTGGTGTGATTGCTCTGTTGAATAAATGGCATCTGGTCCACCAAACAAGCTGAAAAGATGAGTCTCAGTCCATTTTCAAACAAACACGGACCAAAGTCATGTAAACGAACCAAAAACAGGACATGATGTCACAAGGTGTGACCTGGCATACCTGGTTTTCCTCATAGTCGTGATTTTGCCCATCACAGTTCAGTACAGGGTCAGAACCGCGTCTCCTCGCTGCAGATCTTGGTTTGTGTGATGGGATTACTGACACTGTTTTGACTCGTGTGTAAAAATCAATGACGCCACAATATCGTGCAGCCACCACCGAGATTTAAATTCCAGAACAGATTGGATATCATCTTTCACAGGTGATAATGTGTTAACTTGTGTTTTAATTTGTATTAACTCAATAATACAGGTTTTTACTTTGGTACTTTTTAACGTTTTTTAGCTTTACTATGGTTGCACCATAGTCTTGTTGTATTGTGTGTTGGTTTAGCAAAATCACCGGCTGACGTCTTTGCACATAGATAAGCATGCATCCAATTGCGGTTGCAGACGCTCTGTCAACTTTCTCTCGAATGTTTACTGACCTTTCCGATATGGCGAACGGCTTATGAATAGCAGCAGAGAATGTCTAATTGAAGAGAATTGGCACTGGCTGGTTACTTCCGGGTTCTGGACTGGCTGCAGTAACACGTCTCTGTCCATGCGGGGGCGCTCGCGGTCGAGTGCAGAATGAATGGGAGTCAATGGGGTTTCACCCCCAGAAATCCACTATTCGCCGGATGTAATTTGAAAATTGCATTCAAAAGGGAGGGCTAAGATAATACACTCAGGTGAAAATTGCATTTTTAAGTTCACTTATCTGTTCTAAAAATCCGTTCAAAGATGTGATGACGATGACGTCACACAATAGCAGAATGCTAGCGTGTTCCGGCCAACAACGGCCTAACCTGTAAGAAATCAAAAGGACATAAGTACTCGTTCATTCGACTTTTGGCCTATAATCTATATTGAACTTGCGGAATCGACAATAAAATCTATGTTAATTTAACGACAAGCAGGTGAAAGAGACCCATTTAGCCGTTTAGCCCCATAGACTCCCATTCATTCTGCACTCGCCCGTGATCACCTCCAGTGGAATTCTAATGGAACTGCAACCAAGATGATACACAACGGGGCTAATAGGAAGTGCCAAGGCTCTCCGTTAGACGGGCTCTGATAGCAGCCACTAATGAGGCGCATATATCTATTTATACCATGGTTTGGGTGAATACTCGATTCTGATTGGCTGCAGGGTATCCATTAAAAAGTGATATAGGACACCTAGTAAAGTAGTTGTGGTGAAACTGACTGTTTACCATTGAAAATTTAATAACGTTAAATAAATGCGCAGGCTACATCAGCTGTGAGTAACCATAGCAACAGGCAGTCAAAATATCCATTTTCAATTTATTTTGTCAAAACAAACATCTAGTTAGCCGTTATACTACACGTACTAATACAACGAGCGACTTTATTTCTTTGAACCTTTTTGGAGAATTTGACATAAAATATGTTGACTTTCTGGCTCGTGAGTTAGCTAAGGGTTCTCTGAGCTGAGTGGACCAATATAAGCCGTCAGGCGTAACCAGGGGAAACTTTTAAGTTATTGTTTGTAAAAACTTTAGATTTCGATTGTAAAACTAATTAAAAGATAAACTGTTTTAAAGGGTTAGTTCACCCAAAAATGAAAATTCTGTCAGTATTTACTCACCCTCATGTTGTTCCAACTCCGTAAGACCTTCGTTCATCTTCGCAACACAAATTAAGATATTTAAGATATTAAGATCGCTCCTGTATTCTAGTCCATAGGCTTCTTGAGGGAACGACTTGCTGTCCTCAAAGTCATTAAAGACATCGTTAAAATAGTCCAAGTGACTACAGGGGCTCAATCTTAAGTTTATCAAACGACGAGAACACTTTTGTGCGCAAAAAACAACAAAAATAACGACTTTATTTCAACTATTCGTTTATTTCTCCCTCTGCGCGAGTCAGGTTACTAGTTTAATAGCGTAAGCTTCTGTTATTGTACGTCACACGCATCACACACATGACCAGCGTCGGCCAATAGTGAGCCTACGTGTGACGTAGCTCTACGCTATCACACTACGTTAACTGACTACAGGCCCATAGAGAAGGAAGTGAATAGTTAAAATAAAGTCGTTATTTTTGTTTGTTTTTGCGCACAAAAAGTGTTCGCGTCGTTTGATAAAGTTAAGATTGAGCCCCTGTAGTCACTCGGACTATTTTAACGATGTCTTTAATGACTTTGAGGACAGCAAGAGTCATTCCCTCAAGAAGCCTATGGACTGTATGCAGGAGCGATCTTAATATCTTAAATATCTTAATTTATATTCCGAAGATGAACGAAGGTCTTACGGGGTTGGAACAACATGAGGGTGAGTAAATACTGACAGAATTTTCATTTTTGGGTGAACTAACCCTTTAAAAATGTGTTATTTGGCAAGTGACCATGGTATAAGCGGGTTAAATGCTATTGTCCGTCTTCAACCCTCCGCAGTTCCTGATCGTGCCGGCGTTCGTGGGAATGGCCCTGTTACACCGGCTCTCGGACGACCGCTGGGAGCGGATCACGGCCTGGGTCTACGGCATGGGTCTGATCGCACTCTTCCTCGTCTCCACCGTCTTTCACATCATCTCCTGGAAAAAGAGCCACATGAGGTTTGTCTGCAGGCTTTTGGGAGTCGCAAACACGTTAAATGCGCTAATCTCAGCTCAGATCCATAGACGTTGCAAACCATTTAACTTTAAGTTCGCATCCTGCAAGTCTTTTGTATGGGACACAGACTCTGTGACTGTATGTTGTGTCTGCTATAGTTTGCGGTGTGTTTTCTCTTTCAGGAGCATGGAGCACTGCTTCCACATGTGTGATCGAGTCGTCATTTACTTCTTCATCGCTGCCTCTTACACACCATGGTACGCTTTTGTTTAGAGTTGGACGGATTTACTGATATCATATTTAAAATCAAGAAACATTTATGGTTCTCATCAATGTTGAAAACATTCATTCATTCTTTTTTTTTCCAGGATTCTTTGATGAATGGAAAGTTTATTTAAAATAGAAATATTTTGAAACATTATTAATGTCTTTGCTGTGACTTTTGATCCACAATCGATGTATTTCCTCATTTCTTAACAGTATCTCCCATCTAACATCCTTGCAGAAGTGAAGTCATTTTGTAAAAATGTATTTACTAGCATTAAAATAATTTTAAAAAAGCATTATCAGTGGTTTAAAATTATAAAATGAACACGAAAAATAATTTAATGAGCCATATCAGTAACCGAGCACACTTGGGGTGTTCGGGTCCAAATGGACCCGCATGGAAAACAAATGGGAAATTGGCAAAAATGTGAAAATACTGATTTTTTGTGCGTACAATCTACAAATCAGCCACGATATTGAAAAAAAAACCACACAACAGTGAAGGGGTGAATCTATAAAACATCAAGAGTGCAAAACAGACACACACACACTTTTATACACAAACACACCAAAAAAATCAGATTATACATGTGTTTTGCATTTTTAAAATGCTCAGTTTGTCCACCAGATGGCATCCATCTTATTCCAAAAAATGCTTTTATGAGGCCTAGGCTTGACTCTAAAATGAAATGCAGCTTTAAAAAAAAAAAAATATATATATATATTATTTTTTGTATTATGTTCAATGGGGGGAAATTTTGTCATAATTATTGCATTAATACTAATTATAATTTTTTTTTATTTTTGAATTTTTTTAAAACACCAAAAAAAGAAAAGAAGAAATATTATAAAAAATGAGTAAAAAAAAAAATCATGATTCTTTTTTTTTTTTTAAATATGAATCCCGCCCTTTGGGTGAAAATATGAAAAATATTTACAATTTTTTAAAAATATGAATCCCGCCCATTTGGACCCGAACACCCCGAGTGTGACTCTGAAACGAACAACCCCAGAGGGTTAAATACCGTCAGGTTCGTTATCTATATTACCGGCAAGAAGACTTCCCACTGCTTTACAATAACGTCTCATTAGTTAACGTTAGCTAATGCATCAACTAATATTATCTAACAACGAGTAATAAATTGTTGATTTATTTATTATTCCTTGTTAACATTACTGCTCATCGTTAGATCATGTTAGCTGTAATATTAACAAATACAGCTTTTGTTGTTTTTAATAATGCCACTTGAGATTTGATATCTCACCATGCCACTGAATGACAGTCTGTGTGTGTGTGTGTTCTTGCAGGCTGAATCTGCGTGAGCTCGGGCCGCTCGCTGCTCACATGCGCTGGTTTGTGTGGTTGATGGCGGCCGCCGGGACAATCTATGTGTTTAACTACCACGAAAAGTACGTTTCACTTTAACTTAATGTCTCAGACTGCATCTGACATAGAGCCCGACCGATAAAGTATTTTGAAGGCCGATACCGATACAAATATTTTTGGGTTTTAAAATCCGATATATCGGCCGATATTTTATTTATTTATTTATTTATTTGAAACTGGACATGATAGTCACAAATTTTGTCATGTTTATTTGAGTTAAGAGAACTGATGGGGATGTTCTTTTAATTGTTATTCAAGCAACGTATGTATCGTAACCAACTCAACGAGTGTTGCCAACAGGAACGGTGTAGAGTGCCCTCTGGTGGACAAACTATACAACTCCAACACTCATGAGCGTGTTTCGTCCGTTTTTATTTTATTTTTGAAATATTCATTTATCGGCCATTATAACTGCCGATACCGATAGTTTGAAAAATGCCTAATATCGGCCGATAATATCGGTCTGCCGTTATATCGGTCTGGCTCTAATCTGACATCATGTCTTAATTATGGGTTAGGGGTATAATTGACGTGCGCAATTAAGTGTTCAATTATATTTTGTTGAATGCAGAACTCGGTTGTGATTATTTGAGATCGCAGCATTTTAAATAAAATAGTTGAATAAAACAGGAAATTTTATTTATATTTCCAGTCCACACTCAAAAAAAAATTAACTGCGTAATCCAAATGAGTTTAAGTTGTGTATGCAATTTAAATCTAGTTTTTGAGTGCAAGTTTATTTCAAATAAGCGTGACAAGATTGATAATGTTACATGCACAAACTAGACAATTAAAGCAGAGATGTGTTTTTATGATTAGTTCATGTTCTTGAATGCGTGTCTGATGATAACGTGTGTGTGTGTTTTGTGCAGGTATAAGTTAGTGGAGTTGGCGTTTTACTTGACCATGGGCTTCTTTCCTGCGCTGGTGGTGACATCGATGGTGAGTGTGTGAGATTGAGCTCATTAAGATTAGGTAGGCACTTATTTACAACCGCTTAAAAAAAACACGTCCTGTATAGTATTTGCTACATTCGCCATGTTGTCATGATCATGTGACCTTCCAGCGTCAGTTGCATCACTTCACTGTAATTTCACCTTGGCATGATGGGATAGTAAAGTGTCCATATATGCAGACTTCAGAAGTAGTAGGTCATCCATGTATGAGAACTAATATATTAATATACTTTACTTTGTTGTTTTTACTTCTTATTGTTTTACATTATGTGAGGAGACCATGAAATGCTTAATTGTCATGTAAAAAGTGCAACAAACAAAAAAACTTAATTTTCTTAACAGTTTTAACAATCCGGACATGGTTTGACCAGTTATGTGTCTATTTTGCATCAAGTGTACATATTTGTGTACATTATGGAGCTGCTCTGTATAGTAAACATTTATCCAGAGAAACTTACAAAAGAGGATTAAAAGATCCAACAATATTCGTAATGTACAATGCCAGCTCATTAGATGACTCGATTAGGAAGTGTGTATTTTTTCCTGCTAGTGTGAGTTTAAACCCTAGTGAGTCATAGACAGCAGCACTGTGTTCATTTTAGTGTTCATTTTAATATAAAGATGTGACTGCTAATCGTCACACACTCTGGTGCCACCTTGTGGTCAAGGGGCTTTGCATGCAGGGAGATTTTTTTGTGCCAAAAAATTTGTATATTAACAAAACTTTTATTAAGAGTTAAATGTATTGTCACAGATGTTCATCGCACACCTAGTTTCAGGCATTTAACCAAAAAAAAAAAAACATTGAAGTGCTAAACCACAGAACCGTTTAATACAGTTCAGTGCCTTTTTAATAATCTGTGGTAGAAATATAGTGGGCTACGACTAGCATTTCTGGACACTTAAACGTTTGGCATGTAATTTTGGCCACCAGGGGTCGCTAATCTCTTAATAACAAAGGCGTATAATGATGACGCAAAGCATCAAGCGTAATTATGGATCTTGTTGTCAAGCTGATGGATCTTTAATGGATGAGTGAATACAGTGATTTTTTTTTTTTAACATGGCTGTGGTGTGGAGCAGGACGCGACTGCTAATGCGAGAACTATTAAACATAATTTAATGACTCATAAATGTAAGTTTATGAGACATTGATGGCCTAAGACACGAAACGAGCGGTTTGTGTGAGAAACGAAAATTGAAACCACAGTGGAAACAAAGGCCCCGTCCACACTACTGCGTTTTCGTTTAAAAACGGAGACCTTTTGCTACGTTTGCACCTCCCGTCCACACTAAAACGGGAAAAACGAAGACCTAAAACGAAGAAGTTTAGAAACGCTGCAGCTGCGTTTTGCGTTTTGAATCTCCGGAGGGCATTTTAGTGTGGACGAGACAAAACGGAGAACTTCAGAAACGCTGACGCAGAGGCTGACGCTCGGCTCTATGATTGGGTGTCATCAGTCATGACGTGTCCTTCCCTGATTCGTCAGCTAGTGTTGGGCGATATGCTCCATTTTCATATCGTCCTATCGTCAGCTTGTGAGATCGGCGATACACGATATTATCGTGAGGGGCCGGGGCTAACTTATTTGATTATTAACTTGATTATTTAGCCTACTAATTAATTTGCTTGTTTTATTAGCCTACTTCGTTTTATAGCTTCGTATTGCTAGCAAAGGTGGAGTGTTTATTAATAGGATCAGGTTATTTCCTGGCATAGTGAAGTAAAAAAAGAGATCCTAATCCTTTTGTTTGTCAACGGGAAATTTACGGACACTATTAGCCTATTCTCATGCCATTACATGCAGCATTTTGGTCTATTTCTGCACTGAGATGAAAACACGTTTTAATAATTTCTTTTGTCAGAAAGAGTCGGAGTTTGCGATATGTGCCCCCTACAGTGCGCTCTCTGCGCACTTCACATGCGCACTTCAGTAAGCACGAAGTACGCGGGTTAATGTGTTTTAAATGCCGATATAAACAAGAGCAAGGGCCAAACGTCTAGCTGAGTCAATCGGTTTATACTACTTATGACTTGACTCTGATAAAGGAAACGTTTACATGACCACATGCATTGTCAAGTTTATTCAACATAATCAAGTTAAGAACGTCGTCGCATGTAAACGCGCTCTGTCTCTGAAAGTGAAAGTAAAAACGGACTGCTTTCGGCATCTGCACTAACGCCGCGTTCACTCAGAGAGGACGATGATAACGGTAACTATAATACTATTTTAGTGATATTATTATTAATACTATTTAGTAATTGTATTGTTTTTAGTGTTAGTGTCATTAAACGTTTTGTTAATGTGTTGCAGAAACAAATACTGACGAACAACGATGCCGTTTTCATCTTGGATCTGTAGGAAATTGAATTTTGCGTCTGTTAAAACAAGCACACTTGATAATTTGTGAATGGATCACCTTGCGATTGAATTTTGATGTGGGATGTTTTTTAGTCTGTTTTAAAAACATTCTCTAAGAGGAGTCCTCATTAGTGCGTGTGTTGTTGCAATTGTTATGAGGTGATGTCGTTGTAAATTTAGGCAAGGCAAATTAATTGTAGTTCCTAATATTCATTTAATAACAATACTAGCTTTATAATAATAATAATAATAGGCCTAATAATAATAATTTAATACATTATGGTAAAACAAGCCAATTATCGTATTGATATCGTCAAAGGCATCTGCCATCGGCGATATGTCAGACTATCGTCGATACACGATACTATCGTCTATCGGCACAACCCTATCGTCAGCCACTGTTTACACCGACGTGCGCATGCCCAGTGTTGGTGATGGTCATGTGATCTGCGTTTTCAGTCGTTTTAATGTGGACGGAGATCGTTTCTAATACGCAGATAAAACGCTGGTGTGGACGGAGATCGTATTCGTTTTAATTCTCCGTTTTTAAACGAAAACGCAGTACTGTGGACGGGGCCTAAGACACCTACATCTTGGATGCCCTTGAGGTAAGATAAAACATACCAAAAATGAATTTCAAAGCGAACTATCCCTTTAATCGCTCTGGCGCGCGAGACACTTTGATAGCACATTAGCTTAGCCCAGTTCATTCATTAGGATCCAAGCAGAGAAGCGACCAAACACCTCCACGTTTTCCCTAATTAAAGTAGTGTAACTCGACCAAGAATGGTGACGCAAAATAAAACGTAAAAATGTAAGGACTTGCCTAAAAGGATTTTTCTATAACCCATGTCCACGTCTGTTGCCATGGTTACTATGGGAGTATGAGCGTAACTGAGGGTAACGCGGATATGACGCCATTGACTGGCGACTCCTCACCCCTGCTCACACGCCCCGTTTCCATGGTTACAATCGCAATTTTCTCACAATTTGCAAATTGTTAGAAATAGAGGCCCGCGGGACCCAACGCAAATCTCGCGGAGCGGGTGGTTTGAACTTTGCTGCGGACAGGAATGGGCAGCTAAAAAAAAAAACTGGGATCGGAAGGTAGCCAACCCAGATAGCAAACTGACATTGAATCAACGTGGAAACATGACATCGAAACAACGTTGATCTGGCATTGTTTTGCTCATCGAATTAACGTTGAACCAACGTCAGACGCGTCATTCTTCAAAACTAACGGAAATTCAACTTGAAATCAACGTTTTTTCAACGTTAGGAAAGCAAACCAATTTCGTCAATTTTCATCTGGCTTTGATTCAACGTTAATTCGATGAGCGAAACAATGCCAGATCAACGTTGTTTCGATGTCATGAGAGACGTCGTTTCCACGTTATGTCAGTTTGCTGTCTGGGTAGCGACATGATGGAGATGTCAATAAATGAAGTTATCAACCAAACAAAATATACAACATTGCCCTAGTGGTTTTTGGATATTTTATATTTCAAAATTCCTACATATTGTACCTTTAAATGTGTAAAAACCAATCTTGATTTTGTGTGATTATTGTTTTGATCAGAGTAACACCGACGGGCTGTACGAGCTGGCGTTCGGGGGCTTCGTCTACTGCCTGGGGGTCGTCTTCTTCAAATCCGACGGCGTGATTCCCTTCGCTCACGCCATCTGGCACGTGTTCGTGGCGCTGGCGGCCGCCATCCACTACTACGCCATCTGGAAGTACCTGTACCGAAGCCCCACGCTGGAGGACATCAGGGACGTGTGAGCCTCAGCGCGACACACATCGATCGCCCGCGCTCCAAACGCCATCGTTTACCTGTACGACCACGCAATGTTTACTGTTTTCTAACCGATTGTGATCGCAGTATCGAGTGCTCATTGGCCACAGCTACATCGTCAGTATTATGTAAATATATTCCACTGAAAGCAGATGAATTGTGATGATTTTCCCGTGCAATCATTTCTGACACACACACACACTCAGTGGTTGATTCATGTCATCTGTAGTGAATTAGTTTACTTTATTCTTGCGACTTTCTCTATCAGATCTATTTTTGCATATCAACTTCCTTCAGACGTACAGCTAGTTTGTTTTCTACGAGCACTGGTGGTTTTCTACGCCCTCGCCGTGTTTCTGCTCTTTCAGCGGGATTTGAACGATTTTTCTAACTGGAAGAACCACTTCTGTTTGATATGCCATCATCACACCGGAGATATTGTCGTCGAGAGGCTGATGGGAAGATGGCGGACACGACCAGGTGTTCTCCACCGCCTGAAAGATGTTTCTCGAATCCAGCACAGTTTCACATGGATATTTGACGGAGAAACGGTAAGCGAGGACGAGCCGAATGGATCCCTGCTGGTTGTGACTTTGACGATAGAACGATTTCCACTGTCTGTTGTGATGAATCTGACAAAAACGGGTCATATTTCACCCCAAAATCATAAGAAAAAATGCATAAGAAACTGAAGCCTATACTATTTTTAGGACCAATACCATTTTTATTGCATTGTGATATTTTACATCTCATTACTACTGTCTTTTTTTTTTCTTCTTTTTTTTTTTTAAATGTGTATATATATGATTCCTGGTCATCGTCAATTGTCCTTTTTGTTTTCTTTATTATTTTTTTTTAATTAATCTCTCTCTTGCTATATATATATATTATATATGTATATATTTAATTTAAAACGATCAAATTACATATATATATATATATATATATATATATATATATAATTTGATGGATTTAAATTAAATATTTAATTCATTTAAATTAAAAAAATATATATTTTATATATATATATATATATATATATATATATATATATATATTATATCTACCAAATTATATATATATATATATATGTATATATATGTACATGTAATTTGATAGATTTAAATTATATATATATATATATATATATTATATTTTTTTGCATTTAAATCTATATATATATATCATTTCTTTTTAAAATCTATCTAATTTATATATATATATATATATATATATATATAAAATTAGGTTATACACTTTAATTATATATTTTATTTTTTGTTTATTTAAATCTATCTAATTATATATGTATGTGTGTATATATGTAATTTGATAGATTTAAATTAAATATTATAATGTATCAATTTCATTATAGCCAGTTGAATTTGGGGGATAATGTGTTAAATTGAAACTTTTTGTATTTTATTTTTTTAAATCTTTGTAGTGAAATATGACTGTTTTTGGCACGTTTGGTGAGGTTCACTTATTAACCACACGAGAGCTCTAGATATCGCCGGATGATCATCATCCCATCATCATGACCTATATTCAGAGACTAGAGCGAGTCTCGGAGGATCATGGGAGATGGTGTTCTTCAGGACCCTCGCTGGCGTCTGACACTGTGAATGCGTCTGGCTCAGTCGAAACACTGATCTGTTGGGATTCAGGAACCGCTGCGATCCACTGGGTGGAAGCTCCAATGTTTTTCAAGTGCTAAACCCGGAGGTCTGGATCGCAGCCATCGCACATATTTAAGTGTTTTGCTCAACGGCTAAAGCTTTTATTTAGTCACGTTTTCACCAGACCGCAACATGATGTCGGCCCAGATCCGGCACAACTGGATTCCACTCAGCCCAGATCTGGCCCGACACTGTGTCGCAGTCTGGGGTCGATACACACGTGCTTATTCTTCTGGTGCGTTCACGTCATGTTGAATATCCATATCTACTAGTTTCAGACTAATACAAAATTGTTTTTGTTTTTATCTGCAAGTTTATGGCACTTCTCTTCACGTTTTTCTTCTTGATTTATTTCTCTCTTTTTTGGCATTAGTCGTCCTGACATGACGAGAACGCATCATGGTTATGGGTGTTTGTGAGATGTGAGAGAGTGGATTTGACTGGCTCTTGTACTCTGGGACAGACTTTTGTAAAATCTTTCTACATGCGGTTTCGGCACATGATTCTGCACTGGCCTTTTCTCAGATCAAACTGTGAAACCTTTTCTGAAGTCTTCATCACACATCAGTCTGGTGTTGCTATAAAGACTAAATGTGTCCAATGTTGAAGTTTCTAAAGTGTTAATAAATGAAAGCGATAACAGTAACTCTTGTGTGTGTGTGTGTTTTGTTTCATGCGTGGCAAATTTAAAATTTAAAAATTAAAATTTCGACCCCAAAAAAAAAACCGACAGTGTTACCCCTGTCGTTTTTTTTTTTTTTTTTTTGTGTGCGAAAAAATAAGTTTCTCCAATCTTCTTGAAACTCTGGATTCTGATAGAGAACCATGAGACTAAGATCTGAGTGCAAAAATGGAGGCTCTAGACCCTTCCAGAGCTGAGATATCGAAACTCAAAAATTCGACCCCAAAAAAAACGACAGTGGTACCCCTTTCGTTTTTTTTCGGGAGAAAAATTAAGTTTCTCCAATCTTCTCAAAACTCTGGATTCTGACAGAGGGCCATGAGACTTAAACCTGAGTGCAAAGATTGAGGCTCTAGACCCTTCCAGAGCTGAGATATCGAAACTCAAAAATTCAACCCAAAAAACAAAAACGACAGTGTTACCGCTTTCGTTTTTTTTTTCGGGCGAAAAATTAAGTTTCTCCAATCTTCTCAAAACTCTGGATTCTGATAGAGGGCCATGAGACTTAAACCTGACTGCAAAAATGGAGGCTCTAGACCCTTCCAGAGCTGAGATATCGAAACTCAAAAATTCAACGAAAAAAAAACAAAAACGACAGTGGTACCCCTTTCGTTTTTTTTTCGAGCGAAAAATTAAGTTTCTCCAATCTTCTCAAAACTCTGGATTCTGATAGAGGGCTACGAGACTTTGACTTGAGTGCAAAAATGGAGGCTCTAGACCCTTCCAGAGCTGAGATATCGAAATTCAAAATTTCGACCCAAAAAAAAAAAACGACAGTGTTACCCCTTACGTTTTTTTTTCATTTTCGGGCGAAAAATTAAGTTTCTCCAATCTTCTCAAAACTCTGGATTATGATAGAGGACCACGAGACTTTGACCTGAGTGCAAAAATGGAGGCTCTAGACCCTTCCAGAGCTGAGATATCGAAATTCAAAATTTCGACCCAAAAAAAAAACGACAGTGTTACCCCTTTCGTTTTTTTCGTTTTCGGGCGAAAAATTAAGTTTCTCCAATCTTCTCAAAACTCTGGATTCTGATAGAGGGCCGCGAGACTTTGACCTGAGTGCAAAAATGGAGGCTCTAGACCCTTCCAGAGCTGAGATATCGAAATTCAAAATTTCGACCCGAAAAAAAAAAACGACAGTGTTACCCCTTACTTTTTTTTTCATTTTCGGGCGAAAAATTAAGTTTCTCCAATCTTCTCAAAACTCTGGATTCTGATAGAGGGCCACGAGACTTTGACCTGAGTGCAAAAATGGAGGCTCTAGACCCTTCCAGAGCTGAGATATCGAAATTCAAAATTTCGACCCAAAAAAAAAACGACAGTGTTACCCCTTTTGTTTTTTTTCGTTTTTGGGCGAAAAATTAAGTTTCTCCAATCTTCTCAAAACTCTGGATTATGATAGAGGGCTGTGAGACTTTGACCTGAGTGCAAAAATGGAGGCTCTAGACCCTTCCAGAGCTGAGATATCGAATTCAAAATTTCGACCCGAAAAAAAAAACGACAGTGTTACCCCTTTCGTTTTTTTTTCATTTTTGGGCGAAAAATTAAGTTTCTCCAATCTTCTCAAAACTCTGGATTATGATAGAGGGCTGTGAGACTTTGACCTGAGTGCAAAAATGGAGGCTCTAGACCCTTCCAGAGCTGAGATATCGAATTTCAAAAATTCGACCCGAAAAAAAAACGACAGTGTTACCCCTTTTGTTTTTTTTCGTTTTTGGGCGAAAAATTAAGTTTCTCCAATCTTCTCAAAACTCTGGATATTTGATAGAGGGCTGTGAGACTTTGACCTGAGTGCAAAAATGGAGGCTCTAGACCCTTCCAGAGCTGAGATATCGAATTTCAAAATTTCGACCCGAATAAAAAACGACAGTGTTACCCCTTTTGTTTTTTTCCGTTTTTGGACGAAAAATTAAGTTTCTCCAATCTTCTCAAAACTCTGGATTATGATAGAGGGCTGTGAGACTTTGACCTGAGTGCAAAAATGGAGGCTCTAGACCCTTCCAGAGCTGAGATATCGAAATTCAAAATTTCGACCCGAAAAAAAAAACGACAGTGTTACCCCTTTTTTTTTTTTCGTTTTTGGGCGAAAAATTAAGTTTCTCCAATCTTCTCAAAACTCTGGATTATGATAGAGGGCTGTGAGACTTTGACCTGAGTGCAAAAATGGAGGCTCTAGACCCTTCCAGAGCTGAGATATCGAAATTCAAAATTTCGACCCAAAAAAAAAACGACAGTGTTACCCCTTTCGTTTTTTTTTCGTTTTTGGCGAAAAATTAAGTTTCTCCAATCTTCTCAAAACTCTGGATTATGATAGAGGGCTGTGAGACTTTGACCTGAGTGCAAAAATGGAGGCTCTAGACCCTTCCAGAGCTGAGATATCGAATTTCAAAATTTCGACCCGAAAAAAAAAACGACAGTGTTACCCCTTTCGTTTTTTTCATTTTCGGGCGAAAAATTAAGTTTCTCCAATCTTCTCAAAACTCTGGATTATGATAGAGGGCTGTGAGACTTTGACCTGAGTGCAAAAATGGAGGCTCTAGACCCTTCCAGAGCTGAGATATCGAAATTCAAAATTTCGACCCGAAAAAAAAACGACAGTGTTACCCCTTTCGTTTTTTTTCATTTTTGGGCGAAAAATTAAGTTTCTCCAATCTTCTCAAAACTCTGGATTATGATAGAGGGCTGTGAGACTTTGACCTGAGTGCAAAAATGGAGGCTCTAGACCCTTCCAGAGCTGAGATATCGAAATTCAAAATTTCGACCCGAAAAAAAAACGACAGTGTTACCCCTTTCGTTTTTTTTTCATTTTCGGGCGAAAAATTAAGTTTCTCCAATCTTCTCAAAACTCTGGATTATGATAGAGGGCTGTGAGACTTTGACCTGAGTGCAAAAATGGAGGCTCTAGACCCTTCCAGAGCTGAGATATCGAAATTCAAAATTTCGACCCGAAAAAAAACGACAGTGTTACCCCTTTCGTTTTTTTTCATTTTCGGGCGAAAAATTAAGTTTCTCCAATCTTCTCAAAACTCTGGATTATGATAGAGGGCTGTGAGACTTTGACCTGAGTGCAAAAATGGAGGCTCTAGACCCTTCCAGAGCTGAGATATCGAAATTCAAAATTTCGACCCGAAAAAAAAACGACAGTGTTACCCCTTTGTTTTTTTTCGTTTTTGGGCGAAAAATTAAGTTTCTCCAATCTTCTCAAAACTCTGGATTATGATAGAGGGCTGTGAGACTTTGACCTGAGTGCAAAAATGGAGGCT